TTAATGTTCTGATCATTCCATCATGGCTCCTTAATCTTATTGAACCAATGCCATATGAGGTAAAAGGGTTGTTATCCACTGTGTGGATGACTCCATATTCTCCTTCTTGAAAATTCACGAACCAGTCTTTGTTGGGACACATATGATAGCTACAAGCCGAGTCCATCAACCATATGTCTGATGATGTTGATAACTCTGTTGTAACTAATGAGAAGTCTGAATCATCACAATCAGCTACATTTGAATCCATAATGGCCTTTCCATTGTTATGTCTGGCCTTATTCTTCAACTTCGGACAGTCTTTCTTCCAGTGCCCCTTTTCTCGACAAAAGGCACATTCATCTTTGCTGGGTCTAGATCTCGACTTGGATCTTCCCTTCTTAGTCCTCGTTTGATTTTGAGGACGACCCCTCACAATTAGTGCTTCTCCTTCTCCGCCCTTCTGTTTTTCTCCCTTTCTTTGTTCATAGCTGTACAAAGCCGAACAAACATCTCTGAGAGAAATTTCGTTATTTCCATGGAGTAGAGTAGTTTCAAAGTGCTCGTACTCATTAGGAAGTTACCCCAACAACATCAAGGCCAAGTCACCATCATCAAAAGTTGCATCCATATTTTGCAAATCTGTGACCAACTTATTGAAACTGGTGATATGTTCATTCATTGTGGTACCAGGAACATAGGTGAAGTGAAACAGTCTCTTCTTCATGTACAATTTATTTTGACTGTTTTTCTTCAAAAATTTATCCTCCAGTGCTTTCCATAATTTACTTGCAGAAGTTTCCTTTGTGTATGGATATTTCTGCTCTCTAGCAAGGTAGGATCGAATGGTACCGCAAACAACACGATTGATAATTTTTCAATCTTCTTCTCCAATAACATCTGGCTTCTTTTCTTCAATGGCAAGATCTAGCCCTTGTTGAAAAAGAACATCTAGAACCTCGCCTTGCCACATCCAAAAATGTCCTGACCCGTCAAAAATTTCTACCGCAAATTTCGCATTTGACACAATTCTTGTCATAAGCGAAGATGCCAACGATGACGTATTATTGACACTTGATGTAGATTTTTCTTGTTTATTGTCTTCCATTTTGAAACAAATATTATTTAGTAACTGACGACACAAATCAAGATTATTTCCTTTCTGGTGTGGAAGATCAGACTAAGCTGCAACCACAGAGCATACTCAGACAGAATCTTGACTCAGTTACCAAGATAGATCTTTTCTGATGTGGAAGATCAGACTATGCTGCAACCACAGAGCATACTTAGACAGTAACCTAGATCTGTTACTAATTGTTGCGAAAGCCAAATGTATATAGTGTGAATTAGTCACAACTACTATACCAAAAATTATGACAACCACTAAATAATAAACAAGACAATAAGACAATAATAAAAGAACAACAGAATTTACGAGGCTCGGCCAATTTTGCCTACTTCCTCGGACACAATCAATATTTTATTCCACTCCAAAATTACAAGTGAAATAATACTAAAGAGAAAAGATACAAATGCCTTAAGAAGATAAAAAATGCAAATGAGAGGTATTTTAAATCCTAAACATTAGGCCTCCTTTTATAGGGTGAAATTCCCATTCAAAACTGTCATCCACCGATGTGGGACTTTTGACAATTTCAACAAATATATCCTTGTTTACAAGAATGTTACGATCTTTACACTTTGCTATAAAAAAGTATTGCAATTCCTTGTGAAAAAGGATTTCAACTCTCAACCTATCTTAATCGGTTCAAGATTTTTTTATTAATTTTGTTTCTTACTTTGAACAAGAGAACAAATGGAAAGAAAGGGAAATGACTCTCAACGGTTGTGGTGGGATGGATAAAACTCTTCTATCCTTAATCAGAATTTTTGGGTTCGAGTCCTAAGAATGAAAAAAGATTATGGTAGAAAACACTTTTATTATTAATGGGTCTTATACCACATAAATTTAGACTAGTAAAAGTCTTAATACGAGTACCGAACAACATGTGAGAAAATGAAAAAAATTGATAATGTTATATTGTCTTGTATAGTAAGCAAAAGACGGAAAGAAACTTGTCTTCTCTTTGTCTCCTTTAGTAATGAGAACTAAAAGAACATGAATATTCGTTTCCCTCAATCCATGAAATAAACTTCTCTTTTTAGTTTTTTCAACAATCAATCATTTCCCTTTCCTTTTAAGTTTCTTCTTTTATCTTCTTTTCCGTTCTGAAAAAAGTTATGCAACAATATGGATTGATTGCTGCATTTCCAAACACTCAATCCCAACATAAATGGGCGAGGAAGAAATAGAGACCGGATTCAGAATTTGAAGTTTAAAAATATTAAAAAATTTATCTAACTCATAGTTTGTTTTAGTTATTATGTTTCGTAATTAAATATTTATACATATTTAATAAATTTTCTAATGTAAATATAAAGTTTAAACAAAAGCTATTATATTAGTCCAAAGCTTTAACTAATATGTGTATCATTTATGCGTTCAATTGAAAATAGTTTTTTTTTTATATGAGTGTATAAAATAGTGATATTTAAATAAATACTAAATTCTGAAATTATAATTTTAAAAGTTTAATTAGTTCAGTATTAAGAACTTTAAATATTGACTTAGTAAATTTAGATCTTGAATCCTAACTATGTATGCTATCCTTAGTGTAACTTGAGATAAAAGGAAAAAAAAACAGTAACAAGTATATATATGCGCGTATACTCCAATATACTTATATATCACCAACCATCACTTGTCAGTGTTCTTATTTAAATTGTTTCATCTCAATCTTGATCTAAATAGTAATAATATGTCAATAGCAAGTGATCATATATTATATCATTTGACTCTGCACAACTATAACCTAGAGCACTACATCAATAATTGAAGCAACATATTATTTTCACACCTAAGTCCTAAATCTAGAACTTTCCTATCTCTCTTTTTATGATATCCTTTTCATCATTCCATTCAATAATATAGAGGGCAACCGGTGCACAAAGCATCGGGTATTCGCATAGGGTTTAGATAAGGCCGTAACTCAAGGGAAGTGGCGTAGACAGCAAGCGTTAGTGAGTGCTTCCAGTGCTCGGACACGTGACCTATAGGTCATACGGTCTACGGAAACAAGTTTATCATTGCTCCAAAGTTCCACTTCCTACCATTCAACAATATGCATGCATTTAATTATATACCTTGTAAAAAAAAATATTACTAGTGCTAATCAATTTTCCTCGTGCTACATTTTCTTCTATATATAAATTATATATTTTTCCACTTTGTATTATTTTATATACGTTTGTTTTTTTCTTTTACATATTAGAGATACCTCCACAACCATATATAGTGGAATTGTGGGTGGGCACAATCTCATCATAGTATACACTATCAAATCAGCACTCCAATAAGCTTTTTGTATTGCATGCTTTAACATTTTCGTCCACAAACTTTGGTCTCATTTTTTTAAAGTTTCAACATATAATCGCTATTCCTATCACAATACATTAATTAAACAAAATTCTCCCACTTATTCTAGTGTACCTAATTAGTATCTACAACTATAAATAGCCCAAACATTGCTCAAAGTGTTACAACAACAAAAACATCCAAGCACAACTAGCTAAAAAGAGTACGCTAACGTTGTCTTTGCTGTTTTAGTCTTGTGTTTCAAGTATGGCTAAGGTGAAGGCTTTTTCCTTTCTTGTTTTTCTTGTTTTTTCAAGTTTTGTTGTAATGTCTGAAAGTCGAGTGGCAAGGATGGATTTGGGATTGGATTTGGGTGGTGTAGGAGTTGGTCTTGGTGTTGGGATTGGCTTAGGGTTAGGTGGTGGAAGTGGTTCAGGTGCCGGTGCAGGTTCAGGTTCAGGATCAGGATCAAGTTCAAGTTCAAGCTCGAGCTCAAGTTCTAGTTCATCTTCGACTGGTGGAGGTGGTGGTGGTTCAGAGGCAGGCTCATCTGCCGGGTCATACGCTGGATCAAGAGCCGGTTCTGGATCTGGAAACCGAGGTGGATCAGGTGGTCGTGGTTACGGAGGTGGATACGGCGGAGGGCATGGTGGAGGAGATGGTGGTAACTAAATTCATGCATGTCAATTTTCACTCGTAAAATTAATCAACCATTTCAAATTAAAGTTAATAATAAACAATGTGGTGAAGTCTTTATGTAGCTTGTAATATGTACCCTGTACGACTTGTTTAATTTGATCATTGTCATTTGTGTTTAGGCTAAATATAAGGAATCATGTTTGGATTGTGTTTTATGCGTTCTTCACTTATGCAAAAGATGTTTTTCAACGTAACTTATGTATCCATCACATGGCGTTTTCTATGGCAACTATATAATTCAATAAAATTTATAACTTTCTATTTAATTTGAACCTTATGTATATATATATGTGAAAAATAAGTATAGATAAGGTTAAATACATATTTCAAAACCTATATCTTCAATTTAAACTCCGACGACGGTCTAAATTAAATTCTGGATTCGCCAATGGTGATACCGACAGTTGCCGCTACTACGTGCACGAATCAATTGTAAGATAAGAAATGGACCAGATATATATTACAGAGGACAAATCATACTAGATTTAGTGCTTGTCAATAATTAAGATCAAATAGGATATATGACAGACTAAGAAGTTATAGAGTATGTCAATAATAATAATGATGATGATCATAATAATAATAATAATAATAATAATAATAATAATAATAATAATAATAATAATAATAATAATAATAATAATAATAATAAACAGATTTCTATTGTTTCGATTTCTTGACGATGATGCAATAATGAGAACTTTTCATCGGATTAGGTTTGAAGTTCATAAAGAGTCTAATGTGTAGGTATGATCGCATCCTTATCTTTTCCGCTAAGTAGATTTTCAAAAATTTGAAGTTAACGTATTATCTGAAAAAATTGAAATCCTGTCAATATCAATTAATATTATTCTTAATTATTTTGAGATATGGAAAATGAAACAAAATTAAGAACTTGATGGGAGTATTCATTGATCTGAGAAAACTTTTCTTTAGTGGAAATTGGATTTGAAGCTGCTGGCCCAACAAGGAAGTTTCAAGAAAACTTTGGATCAACGTCCATCCAGCCCAATTTTGTAGAGTTCCAATTTCTTGGCCTGAAAAAAGGATATTTACACAAATAGCCATCCGGATTCGTTATTTTCTTTTTCTAGCCGGTATACATAGATTATACATTTATTATATATAACTATATACATACTTTATATTGATTATACATATATTTTATATCTGCCGGCTATTCTTAGTTTAAGTGGTTGAGTGGGCTGCTATTTGGATTAATTCTTCTCTAAAAATTGTGCAAACGAACCGATAATTAGAGAAGAATTACTCAAATAGCCGCCTACTCAATCGTTTAAACCGACATTTTTTTATATATATGTGTATGTGTGTGTAAATAATTTATGTATACCGGCTAAGAAAAGTAAACATTAAATTCATTCGGCTATTATGTAAAGATCCCTAATTTAGATTGCGAAATAGGATACATAAGTGACCCATTTCTTGTTATTACGCGGGCCAGGACCAAATCACAAAATTAGATGGGGATGTTTAGCAAATACCCATGGGGCGAAAAATATTTACCCGCCCCTACCCATTACCTTTTTCCCCGCCCATTTTTTTTAATATCTGGTCAAATGAAGTCAATTCAAGCTACTATAAACCAAGTCAATTCATCCAAGCCAAGTCAATTCAAGCGAAGCCAAATAAAGCTAAGCCAAACCAAGCCAGGTCAAGTGAAGCCAAATAAAGCCAAGCCAAATCAAGCGAAGCTAAACCAAATGGATAAAAAAAAGTTAGGATGGGTGGGGGAAATTTTTTAATTGGATAGATATATATATATGGTAAATAGTTATTAAATGAGTAGGAAAAGGTAATTAGTATAAGCTTAATGGGTACTTTGCGTAAATTGCTCAAATTTTAAGTTAGATCTTCTCGGCCCAATATTACTTTATTGCACATTTTGCTAACCCAAATTGTTTAGAATAATTCAACAAAACTTAGAAACTAATTATTACATGAAATGAAATAGAATGAGTAACTACTTGACTTAAAAGTTCAAATATTTGTACTCGAGATGTCAATAATCCACCATCAAGATTTGTGATAGATGAATATGATCCATCAACCGTTAATTAAAGATCTCGAATTCAAAGTCCTAAATATAAAAAATTCTGGCAATGAGTATTTTTGTTTTTAATAAATCTTATACAATGACAACACACAAAATAGAAAACCGAAAAAAAGGAGATATCAATAGTCCTATGCAAGTAGTAGTCTTTATGGGTACGGAAAAGGAAAGTGGTGGAGTAAATGAAATGGATATTTCACAGCTCATATGCTACTGGATACTACTGGAGTATCTCATCAAAGTCAAAATCTACACCTACTTATTGCTCCACCATTCATATTTCTGCTAAAGTTAGCTCTTCTTGGATTGAGGAAATCCAAATCTTCTTGACTTTATCTACGTGTTCGAGCGAAGAATCAGTCGGACTCAAAATTTAAAAGTGACGGCGACATTATTGTCGAATAAAAATTTGAACAAATATTAGCAGTCAAATCGAAGTCATGCAACACATTAACGAGTTGTTTGGTTGCCGGTTAGAGTTATGCATCTATTAACTATACATATATTAGTTATGTAGGTATAAGTTATACAGAAATAAATAATGCATGGATTAGTTATACAGATTTTAGTAATACATGGATTAGTTAAAAAGGGATTTTTTTTTTTTTGAATATTTGATTTGTTGTATTAGAAATTGATATACATTATATAAATTTTAGAGTAAAATACTTATTTACTGATTTTGTCTCTAATAGATTGAGTAGAGGAAGAGCCTAGGAGTGAGGCATTATATCACGACCCAAATCTCACATGTCGTGATGGCGCCTATCGCAATACTAGGTCAGCCGACAACCACAAAGAACCACGCATCTTTAAGTTTGAAAATATAATAAAATAAGCTTAAGAGTAACATCTACTCGTATGAAAAATATCGCGACTCAATACAATATTCTCCAAAGATCCGGGTGTTACTGAGTACATGAGTATCTATACAATAATATGGTATGAAACACTCTCTAGAAAGGTAGAACAGTATATGTAAATAAGACTAAAAGATAAAGGAGGGGAGTCAAGGTCTGCGGACGCCAGAGCAGCTATCTCGAAAATCTCCGAACTGATAAAGCTCCAAAAAAATCAGCAACCGCCGTACTGGAATAGATCTGCACACGAAGTGCAAATTGTAGTATGAGTACAACCGACCCAGTGTACTCAATAAGTAACAAGACTAACCTTGGGTTGAAAGTTGTGACGATCTCAACAGGTACACTCCAAATATAGAAATAATAGTACAGAAATATAGATATGCTTTCAAGTTCAACAATTTAAGCTCAAAATGGATAAATTATGCCAAGTGTGACTGAAATGGGGGATGATACATCTCCATATCAACATGTCAATTATGCATGCCAACTGTAATGCAAAACAGTGATAAAATCATATGCATACTCTCAGAGTATCAATTCACTCAGTCCTCCCATTCACCCAGTCCTTCCATTCACTTAATCCTCACAATCACTCATTTCCTCACAGTCACTCAATCCACCCAATCGGTCGGCACTCGCACTTAGTAGGTACTTGCGGTCACTGCTGGTGAGTCAGACTCAGAAGGGACGGATCCTACCCAAGCGCTATAATATGTCAATCATGGCATGAATCAATAAAGTCTGTTGCGACGTGCAACCCGATCCCATAAACATCCTCACAATCAGTCCCTCAACATCACTAAATCAACAATCTCTTAAGTCTCTCGGGCTCACGAGTATCATGATAATCAACCCAAACAATGATGATATCATGTACTCCCTCCGTTTTAATTTATGTGAACTCATTTGACTAGGCACGAAATTTAAGAAAAGAGAGAAGACTTTTGAACATATGGTGTAAAATGAGGCACATATATTTTGTGTGGTTATAAATCATTGCATAAAGGTAAATTGTTGCTAAATAAGGAAAAAGGTCATTCTTTTTGGCACGGACTAAAAAGAAAATAGGTTCACATAAATTGAAACGGAGGGGAGTATCAATAAATGATAACAGAGACAAAGATATGATATGAAAATAATAGTTATGAGTAAGTATATAATTGCAAATTAGGTAAATTATTCAACAGCAAAACGACCTTTGCGGGTCCCACAGTACCAACATATAGCCTAAGCATGATTTCTAACATGAATAACAACTCAATTTCTTTAAAACATGGGGAATACATGGAAAATAACAAGTTATATGACTACACAGTTTCACGGAGTCGACCGAGGCACAATTCGTACGGTGCACACCCACATGCCCGTCACTTAGCATGTATGTCACCTCAACACCAACCACATAACACATAATTCAGGGATGCATACCCTCAGAATAAAGTTTAGAAGTGTTACTTACCTTAAACTGTACAACTCTCTACTCCAACAAGCCCTTGGCCCGTGTATCGGCCTCCAAATGACTCGAATCTAGCCACAAACAACTTGATACAATCAACACAAGTTATATGAATCAATTTCATATGATAAAGTTAAGTACTTGAGCAAAAGTCAACCCAAGGTTCATGTCTCGGAATCCGACAAAATTAATAAAATTTGAACATTCATTCAACCATGAGTCCAACCATACCAAAATTACTCAAATCTGATCACGACTCGACCTTCAAATCCTCAAATTAAAGCCTAGGAAGTTTCTATAATATTTTTCCAATTTTCAACCCAAATCACTAATTAAATGATGAAATCAATGATATATTCATGTAATTTAACCAGAACCGAGTTAGACTCACTTACCCCAATCACTCCCTTAAAAATCTCTCCTATAATCGCCTCAATTCGAGCTCCCAAAATTAAATTGTGAAATATAACTCAAACCCTCATATTTGAAACTCATATTCTGCCTAGATATCCCTTCTACACGAACGCGAAAAGTGCCTCACATTCGCGAAGCACAAAACTCAATTGCCCATAAATCCTCTTAAGCGAACGCGAAATCTCCCACGCGAACGCAACTCACAAAATTCCAGACCTACGCGATAGCAAACAACATTACGCGATCGCAAATAACAAATTCACGTGAACCCAATCTCCTATTTTCCTCTTCACGAACGTGACTATACCCATGCGTTCGCGATTCACTGCCTCTCCAACTTATGCGATCGTAGACACAAGCTCGCAAACGCATAAAACAAAATCCT